AAAGCTTTTGTGAATTGGAAAATGTGCAGTTAGCTTAGTCTTTATATTATTCTGTCACATCCGGGCACCAAATTGCCCCAGGGAAAGGCAATGCTTGTGGAGATTCCAGTCTGATCGGGAGCAGGAAACCCTGGAAAGCTGACAAGAATGCCTGCCCCACTCCCCCACCCGGGCTTTCCCAGACAAATTTGCAACCCCAAGCTGTTAGGATAGGAGTCAGATAAGCAGCTGGACTTTAGGAGGCTCAACTTGCACTGACTCTCCAGGCTTCCAGAGCTGAGGTGGACCCACCACCCTAGAACTTGGAGAAGCTCACTTCCAAATGTGGATCCAAATGTTGCTCTGGGCCCTATTTCTAATGGGCCAAAACCAAACCCCAGATCCAAACTCCTCAAGACTTGGGGAATGTTACAATCTGGATCAGAATGTTGTGGATCAGACTCATCTCTGCTTCTGACATTCTCCTATCATCAGGCTTTGTGCAAGGACTTTATCTCAGGGTGAAGAGAGCTGCATAAGACACATCTCCCCAAAGGAAGGGAGAAGGCACATCTGAATGGCTGACTAGGCCTTGTCTGGGAGCAGGCCAAAATCAAGCTAGTAGGTGGTCACATCTTTCTAAAGGCTATCCCTACTTATAGCATGACAATCTCCATCTCCAAAATATCAGTGGAGCTCCTTGTTGATTTGCTCTTTTGCAGCAGGAGCTCTTCTATGCTGGCCGGACCCTGACAATACAAGATATGGGGGCTCCAGCAGCAAGCAGGGAGGGAGAGGGTTGACCCCAGTCTTTAAGAAAAGTCACCAAGTGGCTGGCTCAGGGGGTTGGGCATGAAATATAGACCCTTGTTCTTCTAGGTTACCAATTCCAGTGCAGCCTCAGGGCAGAAGCAAGGAGCAGGGTGGATCAGAGGGCTCAAGAGATAATGGGATATGGAGCTGTCCGCTCTCTCTCTCTCTCTTGGTCTATGGTGTTTTTAAAGTACCTTTCACTATGGATTTTAAGTGCCAGACCTCTAGGTTGCCAGTTCAAGTCAGGCATTGGCACTCTACGTTACCAGCCCCAGCAGTGAGGCCAAACACTGAACAGGTCATGGAACGTGAACTCCCCGCTCCTCCCTAGAAGGAGTTGCTTCAGAGCAGTGGAAGGCAGAGAGGCCTTCAGTCTTCAGGCTGTCAATTTGGCACCACTCACCAGCATCGAGTTCACTCTGAAAGGAGTTTCTCTCACAGAGCGGCTTGAGTGCTGAGGAACAGGCACCCACCACAGAGATCAGTCCAACAGGAAAGGCTGGATCTCAGGGCTAACCATGCTGAAATGTTTCCTAATTATGTTTCCATGACTAGAGCTGGCTGCTCCTGTCTGGAACAAACTGGTGGCCAAGCCTGATTATGTGGTTGATCAAAGCAAGGCTGCGAAGTCCCCACTGGGTTAAGGTGAACGGAGGAGGGTGAAGGATCTGCTGGGGACCAGGCTCTTTTAGTCTCCCTTGCTTGCAAAGTCAATGAACCATCAGCGCCTTGTGAGTCACACTGGGACAGCTCTTCACAGACCAGACATTTCACAGCACTAGTCACAGATGCATTTATCTTGGTAAACACAAGGCAACTTCCCTATAGCAAAGCCTACACAAGGAAGGCAATGTGTGTGCTGTGCACACTGCTGATGAGACACATCCCCAATGCTGTGGGGTTCGGATGCAGACCTCAACCAACCTGTGATGGGGCACGTACCCCACACAGGCCCAGAAGGGGTTACCGTGAGAGGCCAATTAACATACCCGGCAGCACCTGCAAGAGAGAGGGACAGAGAAAGCTAGGCTGAACTGATAATGAAGACCAGCTGGGGAGGGGCTGGGTGGTGATTATAAAGCTGGGAAGTTTGTAATAGAAAGGGGCTGCCAGGAGAGAGTCTGCACTCACTCTTGGAGAAACAGAAGAAGTAAGAAGCCATCCAGGGAGGCAGCAAGGAGTAAACCTTGCTGTCAAACTACCGAGTTTCTGGGCAGGAACCAAGAGTAGACGGAATCCCCAAGACAGTAAGGACCACAGAGCCCAGAGACAGAGGGAAGACATGCTGTAAGGTCTTTGGACTATAGCTTGGCTGGACTCTGTTATCCTGGAAGGGGTGGACTAAAGCACTACCTGACTAGAGGGCCAAGCTGCAGGAAGAGAGACCACCACAGCGACGGCACAACCGTTGGCAGTGGGTGCCATTGGGGAGACAGCCGCTACACCATGCCTGGCCACAAGGAGGTGCACCTGCAGTGAGTGAACCCCGTGACACAGCCTAGGGATGCAAACGTGCATGGCAAGGCTAAGGGCCTGAACTGCAGCTCCCAGACGGGAGCCCTGCACTTGGGTGCAAGTGCTATTAGAGAGGTTCCACTGACTCAGCCAGCTGCATGTGCCATGCAAAGAACGTGTGTGCAAGTGAGTGAGGGTCTACGCCGTCAGCTGCCAGGGGGAGCTGGGTGAGGAAGCTCTCTGAATAAAAATGGGGGCCTGACCAGCCATTTTGCAAGGAAAATACAAAGTATTCTGCACTTGCCCTTGTCTTGTCCGACATGACAAGAAGCCTATGGCTGGGAGGGGCGTGCCTCCTCTCAAATTCAGCATCAATGTTTGCCTTGTTTTGTTCCTCGCACTTTCCCAACTGAACTCCCCAGCAGACATATTTCAGAAAGCAGCTGCCTCCCTTTATTGGGAAAGGGACAGTTGCCTCTCATTGGCTCACCTCACTACAACATAAAGGAACAGGTGAAATGCAGATCAGCTGGGAAGGGTAGGAAGACACTAGTCCTGGTCCCCACCTGCCCAATGCTGCCCTGACAACTCTGTGTGCCTCGGTAGTCAGGGAGGTGTCTGATGCCTTCTGGGAACAGTTGAGGGGATACAGACAACTTCCTAGCCTAGAAGGGGCTAACACACACATAGTTCCCTTCCCCCAGCTGTTCTTTGGAACATCCTTAATTGACGGTGAGTGAACTCTGCCACGGATAAAAAGGGAGGGGAGGGACGAGGCGTCCAGACTTCAGAGACGAGCGGAGGGACAGATTAAGTACAATTGATTTTATGCTGTAGCTCTTTGATAGCTAGTCAACCAAGTGGTGCTTTGAGGCTCATCAATAGTGCACAGGGGAAAAGGCTGGCAGCACAGACTCAATCAACACTCACAGATTGGGAAGGGAGGGTTGACACATCATTCAATGGCTCAAAAACCTTCCCCCCGGCCTGTTCTCAGCCCTTTCAGGTGGTAATATCTTGCTTTCCTCCAGTCCCTTTCATGTCAAGGAACCCAAAATGCTTTATCAACTTCCATACATAGAAAACACTTCAAACTTCACTGAAATGCTGCCACCTCTGGGATGAAACATGGCAGCTGTTTAATAGTGTGTAGCAACATTATACAACTGTTTAGGACAGGAAGTGATGAGGAAAACTGTTCTCAGTTTCAACGACAGAGGGGACTAGAGAAGGAGATTTAGGGAAGCAGAATATAATGACGCAATTGGAATCTGAGAAGCACACCAAGGTTAACACTGTGACTCTTGCAAACTCTTTAATAACCATGATCTGCTATGACCTCTGTTCTATGGCTCTTTCAAAAGATGCTATCCAAAGCCATGCAGAGACCCCTAAAACTTGTTAGGGACTGTCAAGGTTCCTTCCCCACTCTGAACTCTAGGGTACAGATGTGGGGACCTTCATGAAAATCTCCTAAGCTTACTTTTACCGGCTTAGGTTTAAACTTCCCCAAGGTACAAACTATTTTACCTTTTGCCCTTGGACTTTCGCTGCCACCACCAAACGTCTAACACCGGTTACTGGGAACAAGTCCGTTTGGAAACATCTTTCCGGCCAAAATCCTCCCAAATCTTACACCCCCTTTCCTGGGGAAGATTTGATAAAAATCCTCACCAATTTGCATAGGTGAACACAGACCCAAACCCTTGGATCTTAAGAACAATGAAAAAAACATTCAGTTTCTTAAAAGAAGAATTTTAATAGAAGAAAGAGTAAAAAGAATCACCTTTGTAAAATCAGGATGGTAAATACATCTATCTCAAAACATAGAGAATCCCTCTAGGCAAAACCTTAAGTTACAAAAAGACACAAAAACAGGAATATCCATTCCATTCAGCACAGCCTATTTTCTCAGCCATTTAAAAAAAACAGAATCTAACGCACATCTAGTTAGATTACTTACTAAGTTCTAACACGCCATTCCTGTTCTGTCCCCAGCGAAAGCATCACAGAGAGAGAGAGAGAGAGGCTTTGTTTCTCCCTCCCCCCAGCTTTTGAAAGTATCTTGTCTCCTCATTGGTTATTTTGGTCAGGTGCCAGCGAGGTTATCCTAGCTTCTTAACCCTTTACAGGTGAAAGGGTTTTTCCTCTGGCCAGGAGGGATTTTAAAGGTGTTTACCCTTCCCTTTATATTTATGACAGGGACGTAAGCTAAATTCCAACAATGTTTCAACTTAAAGGCAAAAGTCCCACCAGCACCCCCACTTTAGAGAAGGTTAAAGTCCTGCCAAAATGCAGAAGAGAGAAGAGGAAGGATGCTGTTTTAGAAGGTGACTCTGTTTCCTAGGATAACATGAATTGCCATCATGGAACAAACCAACAGTCCGCCTATTATCTGAGCAAGATACTCACCCAGTGTCCTGTCTCCTACAACAAACCACAGCACAGACTGCAGAGAAAGATGTGAACTCCCTTTAGTCAATCCATACTACTCTGCAATCCTACAGGGTAGATGGGTTGGGGGGAACCTTTCTGATCCCAGCAAGTGGTCATCTCTTATGCCCTGAAGCACAAGAATTGAGAGTTCTCTCTCAGATGTGCCACCGCAGATGCTGTTCTATTTATGTGCGTGTCATCCCTTTTTGGTTCTTCATGGACGATCAGCCTCAGCGATACCACGTCTAATAACATCACCATTTCCATCTCTATGCAACACCCTCAGCATCTGACCTCAGAGATGGGTGACAATTTACCTCATTGACGTCGATGCTGTTCCTCTCCATATAGGCCCTGTCATTCACCTGCCCACCTTCCACAAACTCCATGAGAAGGACGCGCCTGGTAGACAGCTCCCAGTAGATCCTAGGGACCTGGAATGGGACAATGGAACGTTCGGCCAAATCATGGGACAGCAACAGCAAGGGAATCATGCACCAGTGAGGAAAAGAGGAAGGAAGAAAGGAACTTTATAGTGGAGGTGAAAAGGGACCCATGTTCTCTCCCTACATGCAATAAGGGATGCCAACACATCCACCCACATGGGTGCTTTTCCTTGGTTACTTTAACTGCATTTAATGCTGATGAAAAGCACTGGAGACCACAGGCCTCTCCCCTCAGCACAGTGAGTGTGGGCAGAGACAACGCACCTAGACATAATACCAGGCACTTTAAAACCACAACGGTCTCAGCAACTCCATCTCCTGTCCACATATAAGGCCTGACTCTCCAAGGCACTGAGCACTTGCGACATCCACTGTTGTTCGTCGGTGTTGTTAGACGATCAGCCCTTCTAAGGGTCAGACATTTAACTATTACCTGTTGCATGCGTCTGAATCACACTGTCAGTTCCTCCAGGCAAGAACCCCAGTTCTTATTTGTTGGGCACAGTGCACACTTACACAGCTCTATAAATGATAAGTAATCATCATTAGTCTCTCGACGGTGCCCTTTGGAACATCAATGGACCCAGGCAGACAAGCGCCATGCACTTCAGGCTGTCAGCAATTGAAACGGGAGAAAAATTAAGCCTCACAAATAAGGGGTTTGTCACGGAAACCCTGGGAGACCCGTAGGCATCTCATTGCACACGTGACATTGTCACACAACCGCAAAAACGTCACAGTGCTTTCTGCTCAAGCTGCGGTAAATCGGGCTGAGTGAGGTACAAAGAGGTGAAGTAACTGGCCCCAGTGTTACACGGAGACTCGGCATAACTGGAGTCCTAAACCAGCTTGGCTCCTTTTCCATAAGCACCAGCTTGCATCTCCTACCACGTTCTGTGCAGGCTGAGACTCCTGCTGTCGCCGAGCGAGCCAGATTGCCAATGCTCCCACTGGAAAGAGCTTCACCTCACGGCACCCTCCAGTAGCAGGGCTAAGTGGGAGCCACCTTAGCTGAATGGATACTCTACACTACGGAGTGGGCCCACTACCGTCCACAGCAAGGGTCCATGACCCTGAGGCAAGCCTGGGAGAGGGAAGCAGTGCTGCCCACCTAGTATGACTGAGGCCAGGGGAACCAGCCATGCCACTGTAGCTCATCACAACCCCTAAGCTGACTGCATTTGTTTTATAACTTCAGTTCTGAGGGGCAGTGGTTAGTGAAAGTGCCTCCAACCTCATCTGCTGCCCTCTAGAACTCCAGTTCTTGTTCTCCTCACAGGTCCATGAATACTCGTCACTCCTGACCTGCAGCCTTCCCTGCTATTCCAGTCCTATGCCCACCACACCTCAATCCTGTCCCCTAGCAGCCCCTGCTATTCTGTCCCGGGTCCCTTTCAGCCAGCTCTTCCAGGGCCCCTCAGTCCTGCTGTGCAATGCTCCCTACAGCCATCATGTGTTGGCTGCCTGGGATTTGAAGCCATATGTCCAACATGAAAGACAAGGGCACTTACACTCAGTCTCCCCTAGATCCATCCCATCTGGACTTTGATTATTTTGAAACTTGTCAGGAAGTTAAAAGCCCCACAGCCACTGGACACAGACTCCAAAATTAACAGGTTCCCAAGCTCCTGCAGTTACCTGCAGCACTAGCTCCTAAACACACTGATCCCAATGGCCTTAGAGGATTTCAATTCCAAGCTGACACTCATCCCCATCTTGAGATTTACAGTGGAGGGTTATAAGGGTTACTAAGCCCCATACAAGCATTTGGAGATGTGAGACAAACATTTTGGGGATTCTTGAATTACTCACAGATGTTTGGCTATAATGCCAGTGCATGGAAACAATTTATCTCTGGCTTTAAAAGCTCAACTGGGTTCACAGCAAAAATCCACTCCCTAGCTTAGTTGTGTGTTAAGGAAAATTAATGATACAGGAGCCCAAATCTCCTGTTGCCTACGTGTTGATGAACACATCTCAGAATCGGCAGGTCAGATGGGAGAATCCATTATTTAGCCATCTTGCCATCTGTTATTGTTACCTGTATAAATATCCTGACAGTTCTTTAAACCATGAGGACCTGATTGGCCATGTCCATGGGGATTTACTCCATAATATCCTACTTACACAGCGATGGACACAGCTCTCCAAGATGCATCACTTTTGATAAGCATCTCCTCAGCAGAATTGTTGGTCCTTGGTCTCCTGCCACCCCAATGTCCTACTGGGTTGTAACTGTGTCTAGGGAAAAGCAGTCACATGATGCCACTGAGCTCCAAAAGGATCGTCTCATGTCCACAGCCAGGATATGAGGAATGGCAGGACAGGCAGGAGGGATGAGGGAAGCAACACCCTGCAAAATCTGATGAAAACTCACATGGTCTTGGGCATCTGTCACTTCCACCAGGAAGTGAAAGGCAAAGGGAGAGAATTGTGCTGATGCATGCGTGCATGTGTGCTTGTGTCATGTGAGTGCATTTGTTCGTACGTGTGTGTGTGTGCGCAAATGCATTTGCATGCCAGTGTCTGAGTGTGCATATGAAAAGGTGTGTTTGTATGCACATGTGGAAGCATGAGGATGGGCGTTGTGCATGCGCATTTCAGTGTGCGTATGTGGGGTGAATTTGTGCACACCCTGAACATTTCAGTGGGGAACCTGTGGGCGTACGCACATACACACATGGCTGTCTATATGGTGATGAGCATGAGAGGACTACGTAAATATGCATGTGGGCAGATAAGTGTGGTGGTTTTTGAGGAGACAGATGTGTGTGTTGCTGTAGCTGTGCATCAGTACATAGGGTGCACACAGTGTGTGCATAAGGGAGTTGTGTGTTTGGCTATGGATGTGCACACCTGGAGAGGGGTTCTGTACGTACACTGGGTGATGAGGGTGTCTGTGTGCAGTGGGGGTGGACTCAAGGGGAAGTGTCCTTCCTCCCACTGCAATATGCATGGGCTCTCTCGCTCAGCATACCTGTCCCAACCTGACCTCATTAGTTACAGCCCAGCTCTTCTGTTTGAACTCCATTTCTAGCCCTTGCTTCAGAGGAAACCCAGGAAAGGTGCCATCGGATGGCCCAGCAGCTAATGGCAAATTCACAGCGCTCATGACGAGGCGAAGAATTGATGGAATCAATCTCCCTGGCCCAGGAGGTGACAATCTAACCCAGATGTGAGCAGGGCTGGCTGGCTCAGAGACGATGAGTCACAGGGTACAGGGACTTTCATCCCTAAATCCAAATTTTGAACCAGCCCAGCGTGGTAGTGACAGAAAGCTGTTACCATCTGCCAGGTCTTCAGTGGCCTGCAGTATGAAAACGAGTTGGCGAGTCTCAGCTCAGTTCCTAGCTGGTCTCAGCGGAGAAGCCCAGCACCGACTGGGCCATGGGAACTGAACTCCCCTCTCACTCCACCTCATTCCTCCAGTCACGGATGAGGCACATTGATGGGCCTGATCGGGCCGTCAGTCTCCAGCACTGGTGATCCACCACTATCACCAGCATTACATTCACTTCAAAACAGAAGATTGTTGCTATACATCATTGTCCTCCCGCAGTGAGCTGATGTGCCATCCCTGACTCCTGCCTGCGCATGCACATAAATTAGCACATACACGTGTGACATGCACACGCTCTCCTACCTTCAGGAAATCAAAGTCCTTGAGCATGTGGGCCACCTTTTCAGCATTCCTCCCCTCATTGAGGAAATCCAACTCCAGGGGCAAATTCTTCTTAGCTTCATCCACCAGCCACATGAACTCAAAGTCTGGGAAGATCTGCTTCACGGTCAGCAGGAGAATCTGAAATCAAGAAAGTGACGGACCAGCTGCACCACTGCTCCCGAGCTGCTCAGCAGGCAGCATTACAGGACCCGGCAGCAATACACAGCTCCCAGCACCCAGAGCTGCACCTGGCTGCTTTCCTCTCCAGTCAGGAGCCCCTTGCTCTTAACTGAGGCTGAGTACAGCTCCCACCTTCAGTGCTCCAAACCTGGCAAGGGAGAGAACGAGTCACAGGAAGTGCCTGTCCCCTACCTACCCCTGTTGTCACAGGGCAAACCTGCTTTGTCCCACATTGCCTGAGGACCAAAAAACCAAACCGCTCCAAATACCTCTGGGGCTAATGCACTGTCATGGTGCAACAGGGCAATGCAATGGCCTTCTCCTGGAAGACAAGGTCTGGTCTGCTGCACCCGCACTAGCTGTGACCAACATGCCTGCTGAGCTGTTAAATGGTAGGAAAGCCACCCAAGGGAAGCAGTAGGAGCCCCACTGCATGGTGCGTTTAAAACTAGACAAGGCAAAGCCCTGGAGGATAGGCTGTATGGTGTGATCACTCTGGTCCCTGAAGGGGTCAGACTAAGTGACCCATAAGGTCTTTTTTGAATGTCTGATTCCTGTGATTTGATGAATCACTGTTCAGTTTCATTTAATGGCCTTCAGCTAATGTGAAATAGGAACATCTAAAATAAGGCCTGTCACCTTTACGTTACTCCTTACGCTGCTAAGCAAGAACTTCGCGGACACAGGAAAATGCCACTGGGCAGTTCAGAAATGAAGGCCAATTTTCTTTACAGATAGAAGGCTGCAGCCCTTGCAAAAACACTCCCTTCGAGGGTCAGAGCCCACCCTCAGCTGTCCTGGGGTTTTGACTTATTAACCTGTCAGACTGAAATTGGCAATGCTGCCTAAGGGATCTGGATACCCAGTTCCCATTAAAATGAATAGTTACTGGGCAGTCAGACTCCTTAGGCGACTTTGCAAATCTTAACTTAAATGTTTAATGGACATTTCTGTTTACACAAATACTTAATAAAGTACAAGACCAGAAAGAGGAAATCTAGGGGGGCAAGTGATGGACAGTCCTTCCTAGAGGAAATAGAGGATGGCCCAGCAAGATGGTTCTTCAAATGCAAGAGACTGCATTTGGTGGCATAATCCTAGTTATAAAATGTTCTAGCAAAAAATTCCTGTGTTCAGTTAAGGGACACAGTCAGCATAAAACTCAAGTAAAGCTGTGTAAATTGCTGCAGCTCTACTGATTTCAGTAGCCAACTGACAGCAGCTGAGGATCTGGACCCATATCTTTAAAAAAAAAAAATTCAGTTTGTTATTAAAGCCATCTGAGAGTCCTAAAATGAAAAGACTTTTTAAAAAGTAATTCACTTTGCATGGTTTATACCATCTGTTTTGTTCTTCACTAAGCCAGGAAAATGAAAATAGACCCGTCTGTGTGTGAATCTAGACTGTTTCACTTCCTGGCTCAACACTGTGAGTTAGGGTTTCCTGCACTGCAGTGGGAATGTTTGCAACACACAGAAAGGCAGATACCATTGAAATGTAAAACAAAAATAAATTAATGAACCATTTCTGCTCCTGTTCAGCTGTGTGAAACCATTTATTCACACCCCCCTCCAACTTCTCTTATCTAAATGTCAGTCCTAAACTCAGTCTACGGTGTCCTTTTAAAAATGTAATCACTGGGTTTCAGATCTTATTGAATGATTTTCTCCCATTATGTCTGGGGGCATAAATTCTCTCAAAGTTATGTCACCCAAATGAAATGTAACCAGTGATCTCCGTGTACATCTGCACAAAAACTTTCCAGGGCTGCAGGATTACTGCACTGATGCTTGTGAGCCGAACATTTATACGCTGTTTTCTGCTTTTTAAAATAATGATTCAAGTCGATTTAATGACTTTAAAATTAACAAGGACATACTTAATAACAATTTGTCTGGCCCTTTTCAAGAGCTGTCTAGAATACAGTCCTGGAATAAGGTGGATGTAGGGAGAGTTGAGTGGGATCTCCCTCTGGATTTATCAGATGCTGTCCTGATTTTTAAAGAGTCAGCAATGATGCTATGGAACCCGCAAATAAAGGCAGTGAAATTGTAAATTTTCCATCCAGCTTTTCTGATTCTCTCTCATCACTCTCTGTAGGAGACTGTATCAATCAGTATTTAAATGGTCCTAAATGCGACCTCCTATCTAGTTGCAAAGTATGTGTAATTCTTAAAGGGCCAGATGCTCAGATGATGTAAATCAGCATGAATCTAAACAGAGTCTGAAAAAACCCATGGCAAAGGCCAGGCACATGCACACAACCCTACAATAACAGCAAGCCAACGTGTGCAGCTCAGCACTTACAAGAAACCTTTCAAAAACAAGACAATATATGCCGGGAGCATTCATGAGCAACTGTACAGTAACAAGCACCAGCACTCACAAGTGACCCTACAGTAATGTGAGTGCATACGTAACAGACGCTTGCTGGCATCCCTACTGGGACAAACCAGAGTATGTGAACAGGAAGGAGAATAATACATTTCAGGAAGGAAATAGATTTTTTTAGTTTCAAGCTTTCCAAAACAGAGAAGAAAGAGTCATAAATGTATTTATTTAAATGTCTCCTAATAGTACAACAGGCAAAAAGAAATCCAATCCAGCACGTCACAGCTACACACTGGGGAATGTGCTGGTAACTGCCTATGTTAATAGAGAGAATGTGCCGCTGGGTATATCTACACAGCCCGCTGGCCCAGACTTCACAGCCCAAGCCGCAACTTCAAAGCACTGTCTACACAGCTATTTTTAGGGCCCTAGCGTGAGCCCCATTAATCCAAGTCTGTCCACCCAAGCTGGGAGGCTCACTCCCATGGGCTGTGTAGACCTACTTGAGGGTCTGGACCCTGGATCCTTCACACACAATTTCCTCTTGTCCCGATCTCACACTTTGTCATCTTTCTTGTTCTTCCTCCTGCCCTGACTCTACTCAGCCTCTTCCATGTGGTCCTGGACTTAAGCGAAGCATGCCATGGTCATCCTGGTAGCCTCTATATAACTCACACGCAAAGTGCAGAAGAGATCTCGTCAGAGTGACTGATGCAATCAGAAATATCAGTCAAAGGGAATAATTTTTTCATTGTAACTCTTACAGCCCTGACTGCAAGGAAACCTGCAGGCTGAGCAGGTCTGACCATGCCAGGGGCACATTCCTCCTCCTCTTCGCTATTGCAACTCTCTGCTCCTCAGCCTGCCCAGGTCCTGCTCTCTGGACCCCTGAATGTGCAGGATGCCACTGCCCATTTTCTCAGAAGCACAGGAGAACACAACCTCTTCATCCCCATAATCAGACAACTCTAGTTACTCCCCATGCATTTCAGAATCCAGTCAGAAAATGCCCTCTTTGGGCCAGATCCCAAAGTTAACTGGAGTTGGGCCAGTGTAAGGATTTCAGGACTTGGCCTCTTGTTTCTGAAACCTCCATGGACTTACTCAGGTCTTTCTCACAGACCTTTTCGCTCTCTTCTTTTTCCCCTCCCCCCAGCTCCCTTTCTCCCCATCTGCTCATCCAGCACTAGACTCCAATCCCTCCATCCACACAATCTCATCCCTGACAGTGCAGCCCTCACTGATTTTGTGTTTTATTTTTGTAAGGCTCTAACCACATTATTTATCTTTGTAGAGCGTTTTGGGATACAGGGCGCAGGTCATTATGCTCATAACCCCATAGAGATCAGTGGTATCTGCCACCTGGGTGAATCTGGCCCATCAAGGGCCACCTAGAGTGAATTTGGCCCAGCATGTTTGCACGGAAGGTGCTCTGGCTTACCTCCATCAACAAAATGTCCTTGGCGCTTTGAGCCTGAACTTTCGGGTGCTGGACTTTCACTGCCACTGTCCTCCCATCCTGCAGCACCGCCTTGTGGACCTGGGCCAGGGATGCTGCTCCCAGGGGAGTGTCCTCAAAACTCACAAAGAGCTCTTTGATCTGCCAGGAGAAGAGGAAGAGAAGTGAGCACACTTGCAAGGATTAACAGAGCCAGTCCCACAGGGAAACCTCCTAGAGACTGAAACCCTACATCCACAGACCAGGTACAGCATGGGTCGTGGCTCTGCCGCTTATCCCTTCCATTCCACCCCTGTTCCTCATCCCTGACCTGATGGGGCCCCTCTAGAGCCTAGTCAGTACTTGACACCATTGTGGTGACTGCCAACAAGAAAGTGGGGGCTGCGACTGTGATGCTGCCAATTGTGAGCAGAACACCTGTGTCACTAGGCACTGGACAGAGACCCAGCAGTTCCTTCACACAAGATATTTAACAGCCAGCAGGTGGCAACGACTTTCAGTCACTGCTGATGCTAACCCCAAGCTGTTTGTGTGCAGAATGGGGTGATTACAGTGGGCACCGGGCAGGAGTTGCCTATGCTGGGTGAGGGGCCAAACTGTCTGTCCCTTTACACAGAATTCCATATTTTTATTTAACATTACACTACATGGCACATCATAAGATCCTGAATACCTTGGTGGCACTTACATTCTAGAAGGGATATCAGAAGACTACCATGTGCTTTGTTAACGCCAGCTATGTCACCATGCATTATTAATTTGTGGCTGGCGGCTAGCTTGGCTGTTGGGTTACTGAACTATTGTTTGCCCTTCCATAGATCTGGGTTTCAAATATTTTTAGGCCACAGGTAGCTCTCCAAGGGGCATTTTCTCAGTCCCAAAATTCAGATGATTGACAGTCTCAGGAAAGGCCCAGGACAGGATAGCAGGGCATGTGGTGGGACAGACGAGATGTGTCTCAGCAGCACTATGCGTGAGAGGCCCAGCATTGGAATAGCCAGGTGGGTTGTGGGTCAGGAGTAATCCTGATCAAGTCTCTGGGTATAGGGAACCCAGGTTTGGAGCAGCTCTGGGATGGTGTCTCAGTTCAGGACAGAGATGCATCAGCAGAGCTGGGTGGGGGGTGCTTGCCCAACCTCTTTTTCCACTGTGCTTGGCTCGCACTAATGTGAACAGTGGAGAAGCACATAATTTATGGGGAGCGAGGGGGGAAACTGAGTGCCCCTGCATTTTTATCCCCTGCTGTCATAAATATAAAGGGAAAGGTAAACCCCTTTAAAATCCCTCCTGGCCAGAGGAAAAATCCTCTCACCTGTAAAGGGTTAAGAAGCTAAAGGTAACCTCGCTGGCACCTGACCAAAATGACCAATGAGGAGACAAGATACTTTCAAAAGCTGGGAGGAGGGAGAGAAACAAAGGGTCTGTGTCTGTCGGTATGCTGCTTTTGTCGGGGACAGAACAGGAATGGAGTCTTAGAACTTTTAGTAAGTAATCTAGCTAGGTATGTGTTAGATTACGGTTTCTTTAAATGGCTGAGAAAAGAGCTGTGCTGAATAGAATGACTATTCCTGTCTGTGTGTCTTTTTTGTAACTTAAGGTTTTGCCTAGAGGGATTCTCTATGTTTTGAATCTAATTACCCTGTAAGGTATCTACCACCCTGATTTTACAGAGGTGATTCCTTTACTTCTATTAAAAGTCTTCTTGTAAGAAAACTGAATGTTTTTTCATTGTTCTAAGATCCAAGGGTTTGGGTCTGTGGTCACCTATGCAAATTGGTGAGGATTTTTACTAAACCTTCCCCAGGAAGTGGGGTGCAAGGGTTGGGAGGATTTCGGGGGGAAAGATGTGTCCAAACTACGTTTCCCAATAAACCCAGATAAAAGTTTGGTGGTGGCAGTAGAAATCCCAGGGCAAAGGGTAAAATTCATTTGTACCTTGGGGAAGTTTTAACCTAAGCTGGTAAAAGTAAGCTTAGGAGGTTTTCATGCAGGTCCCCACATCTGTACCCTAGAGTTCAGAGTGGCGAAGGAACCTTGACATGGTGGCAGAGTGGTGGGATTAACCTGAAATCCTTTTGAGATCAATTTGAGATTTTTTGAACCAGAAAAACAGATTTTAAAAAGGACATATTTTTTTTTCCTTTGGAGCTGCTGGAAAGGAGGTCCAACTGAAAGCAGCTAGTTTTTTCTCTGCTTTGGTGCCAGAGCAGAGAGAAAAGGGGATTATCTTCGTGAATTGCAGGTTTTCTTTGCCTGGAGGCAGAGTAGTTAACCTCCTGCAGGGAAATTCACAGTCTTCGCAAACCAGAGTTTTTTTTTCTTTTTCCCTAAAAGTAAATAGGGGGGTGTTCTACCCATTTGCCTGTAGACAAAAGTGGCAGGGTTGTTTTTTTTTTTTACGATTTTGGGGTTTTTTTACAAGGAGCACAGGTTTGAAAAGGATTTTTTTTTTCCTTTGGGCTGCTGGTAAGCAGGTTTCCAAGTAGTTGGAGGTTTTTTGCTTTGATTTGGGGCCAGAGCAGAGACAAAGGGAATTGTCTTTTTCTGTAGGCTGACAATCACTATCAGAGAATAGGTATCCTATTCCAGCACAGCAAAATTTTACAGCCAAGTTTTGTTTGTTTATTTCTAAACCTCGGGTGTAAAGTTAGTTAAAAACAGAGAGGTTAGGATGACAGAATCCACGGTTCAACAAAAGCTGGAATTAGCCAGATTTCAGGCTGAAGAAAAACAAATGGAACATGAAAGACAGATAGAACTCATGCAGCTGGAGAAGGAGGTACAGGAGGCTGCCCACAGGAGGGAAATGGAGGCAAGGAAGCATGTGTAGGAGGAGAAGGAAAAAGAGAGGAAGCATGTGGAGGAGGAGAAGGAAAAAGAGAGGAAGCATGAACTGGAGATGGAGAAGGTAAAGGCTCAGCAGAATATACCAACAAACCCTAGCAATCCTTCTCCAGGTACCACTTCCCATCCCAGAAAGTTCCCCACCTACAAGGCAGGCGATGATACGATGAGGCAGGCGATGATACTTAGAAAACTTCGAAAGGGCCTGCCTTGGCTACAGCATCTCTACCGACCAATACATGGTAGAGCAGTGGACCCTTAGCTGAGGTGGCGGCTGAAATGCCTAAAGAACACATGAACAAGTATGAACTGTTTAAATACAAGGCAAGAGTCAGAATGGGAATAACACCCGAGCATTCTCGTCGGAAGTTCAGAGCCCTAAGGTGGAAACCAGACGTGTCATTTACCCGACATGCCTACCGCATTATGAAACATTGGGATGCCTGGATATCAGGAGCAAGTGTTGAATTTCCAGTAAATTTGCCCTTCCTAATGCAAATAAAACAATTCTTAGAGGGTGTTCCTGAGGAAATAGAAAGATACATCCTAGATGGGAAGCCCAAAACTGTAATCGAAGCAGGAGAGATAGGAGCCAGATGGGTGGAGGTGGCCGAGAAGAAGAAAACTGGTCGCAGTTGGAGCGGAGACCAGAAGGGACCACCCCAGACCACATCCTATTACCAGGGGCCGCCCAAGGCCCCACCTACCTCCCAAAGAACCCTCCAGACACCTTATCGTCCCACCACCCCGTTCTCCAGCAAACCACCTCGCCCCAGTGACCCGTCAGCTGGACGATGTTTTAAATGTAACGAGCCGGGGCATGTAAAGGCCAATTGCCCTAAGAACCCCAACAGATCACAGTTCATTGCACGGGAATCACACGAAAGATCCGCAGGCCCAGATACCTCCCAGATACCCTTGGAGCGGAGGGAAACTGTGAGTGTGGGCAGGAAGAAGGTCACCGCGTGGAGGGACACCGGAGCACAAGTGTCAGCTATCCATGCTTCCTTAGTGGACCCCAATTTACTCAACCCAGAGATCCAAGTGACGATTCAACCCTTCAAGTCCAACTCTTTCAATTTGCCTACAGCCAAGTTGCCTGTCCAGTACCAGGGCTGGTCAGGAACGTGGACTTTTGCAGCCTATGATGATTATCCCATCCCCATGCTGTTGGATGAAGACTTGGCCAATCATGTGAAGCTAGCCAAGAGGGTGGGAATGGTCAGCCGCAGCCAGCGGCTAAACAAGCCGTGAGGCCTAGCTCTGTTCCGGAAACTTCTATCAGGACCCGGTCAGAGGTGATGGACCCGGACGCCAGGCCAATGTCTGCAATAGCAGTAGTAGATCCAGTCCCAGAGACCCAGACAGAACCAGTCCCAGAACCGGAACCAGCCGAACAACCAGCACCAGACCCATTGCCAGCACTGAATCCAGTATTTGCAACCTCAACACCAGAGGGCCACACCGAACCTGAACCGGCAGCAGCCCATAACCCTACACAAGAGGCTCAGCCAGAGCCTGAACCCCAACATAGTGTCCCAGTGGAGAGCGTTTCACAGTCAACGAAAACAGCCCCATCCCCTACATCGCTTCCAGAGGGACCAAGCATAGGTCCACAATCCCATGAGGAACTGATGTCTCCAGCATCAAGGGAACAGTTCCAGACCGAACAGGAAGCAGATGAAAGCCTCCAGAGAGCTTGGACGGCGGCACGGAGCAACCCACCGCCTCTCAGCTCTTCTAATCGATCCAGGTTTGTTGTAGAAAGAGGACTTTTATACAAGGAAACTCTTTCTGGTGGACACCAGGAAGACTGGCATCCTCAGAGACAGTTGGTAGTTCCAACTAAACACCGGGCCAAGCTCTTGAGCTTAGCCCACGATCACCCTAGTGGCCATGCTGGGGTGAACAGGACCAAAGACCGTTTGGGGGGGGTCATTCCACTGGGAGGGAATGGGCAAGGATGTTTCTACCTATGTCCGGTCTTGTGAAGTATGCCAAAGAGTGGGAAAACCCCAAGACCAGGTCAAAGCCCCTCTCCAGCCACTCCCCATCATTGAAGTTCCATTTCAGTGAGTAGCTGTGGATATTCTGGGTCCTTTTCCGAAAAAGACACCCAGAGGGAAGCAGTATATACTGACTTTTGTGGATTTTGCCACCCGATGGCCGGAAGCAGTAGCTCTAAGCAACACCAGGGCTAAAAGTGTGTGCCAGGCACGAGCAGACATTTTTGCCAGGGTAGGTTGGCCCTCCGACATCCTCACAGATGCAGGGACTAATTTCCTGGCAGGAACTAT